CTGAGAGCGGGGGGCCAATACTACCATCACGATGAAGCGGAATTTTCCCCATCATCGGTCGTTACGATTTTCAAATTTCCAGCACCTTCTTACTCTCGAACGGTGAGAGGGGGGGGGGAGCCCCAAGGGGTGAATATCAGATGCCTCCAGAGTTTCCTGAGGGAGATAGTCCCCAGAAAGCCCACTCCCTCAGCTTTGAAACTTGGGGTTCCTCGCTTACGATACGGTAGTTTAAATGCCCCTTCCCATCATCTCGTGACAATCCGGGATACCTCGTGTCATGCAGCATTCCAACGGATAAATCGGCCAATGCGCCTGCCGGATTCATTGAGAACCCGTTAGCAAAACGATCAAGTCATGCTTAGTGCTGGCAGGGGGGGCAGGCGGGCGGGCGTAACCCTACCGGGAAATCCTCTCCACCTCGAGCCGCCCGCAGCACAAGTACTTTTACCGCTCCGGGCGCTTGGAGATTTCGATGAACGGTGCTCCCGCTGTCTGCCTATGATACCGTCCCCCATCCTGGTAGGCGACTTTACCCGTACAGTACATCGCCGGCGAAGGTCCCCCCCGAGTTGCTTACCGTTCGGACGGACACGTCTCTGTACACTACCGTACCGTACCTGGCCCGCACACCGAAGACGACCGTAACTCGATTGAACAGACATCTGAGACAGTGTGCCCCCCCCCCCGTGCGGCAGGTAGCCATCATCGTGTGTTTCCAGAAATAGCGACGAGCGGGGGACTTTTTGCTCTGCGCGGGTCCCTGCAAGTGAAGTGCGACTTGACGGATAGGCTCCCGTTGAGAAGTGTTCGCTCGAGTCGTGCACACTGCGAACCAAGGTTCCACCATAGACATTTCATCATCAGCCCTAAGGCAGAGCCTTCCGTTGCACGAAAAAATCATTGCGGAGCATCCTCCGTGGATTATGTAACCCAAGGGCTACCATTTCCGGCTAGCCTTGTATGGGGAGAAAGCGCTGCGCTGCGGCCGGAATAGGGTGCGAACACCTTCATGCTGCAGACATTTGTTAACCACGGTCCCGGGTTTATCCTTCGAATACGGATTGGAGGCTTAGATTATCTGCCGCCCTGTATATACAAGTATGTATGCCCTCTCCCTCTTTGATGGCTGAGCTCTGGAGCTCCCTTGATCCAAAGATCCTCGCTTCCCCGGTTCAACGCACTCCGCTGGCCCGAGTGTCCGACATCGCTTTGGGAGCCGGGATAACTTTTAGATTGCCCCATGACAAATCCCATGCATCCCTTGTACCGTACACTCCCGGCCGCGCTTATTTCGCTGGTAACACCTGTACCGGTATCCTGAAAATTAAACTGAGGGTGAAAGATGCGCTTGGGGACAAAGTTCCACTCAAGAAATGATCCCGCCCGCTCCTGGCGGAACGGGATCCTTACCGTATTCTCTCGCCTGAAGGGGTCGGCCCACCAATGTGCCGTACTCGAGTAGGTTCGCTATGGGAGGGGGCGGGTTGGGGTTGCTGTGCCGCGTAGGGGTTTGCAGGAGGCATTCCATTGGAGCCGCCTTCCGCCGTACCGATCTACCCCTCTATTGTAAATGTCCCAGCCGTCTCCGCCTTCCGCAATTTTCGGTTCCACAGACGGGTCAGCGCTCATCAAGAGGGGTTGCGCCGGGGTACCTACCGGTAACAAGGCATGCTGTGTAGAACGTCACCAATCTTCCAACATATAAGGCAGCGGGTGCTACGCGGTTGGCTGAGTGCTATATCCAAAAATCCAAAAATCCATCCACTCTTGTCGGTCTCGAATAGACGGCAAGGCTACGGCAGTGATGGACAGGTGTGCAGTACGCGCACTTGTTGAATCAAAAAGTCCAGTGCATAGCAGAGAGCCAGTCGTTTTCCGGGGGCTGTAAAGGTCCAGGAAAGTGGAGGGCCCAGCGCGCGAATGGTGGGGGAGCAGCAGGCAGTGAATGCGGCTCATATTCTCGCGAAAATAGAGGAGGTGCGCGGAGCGGTCGGTGGAGGCAGGTCGGAACGTGATTCTCGAGTGATCCATTGTGAGGATAAGGCAATCATAATCACCGTGTGCACACCATACAACGCTGGGTCGTGGCTTATCCTTTTTGCCAAATTCTACGCAAGAGTTTTTGGCACCTTCTTTCCCTTTAGGGTGGACTTGGCCACGTAAAAGGCTGGGATGGAAGGCACAAAGGGCGGAGCCGCTCCGGACAGCCCCCGCGGGGTTAGGAATGTCCCAAGAGGTAACGACCACCCTTCCGCCCGCCAATGGAAAACAGCCCCATTCTCCCGTTGGTCGGACCCGCTCTGCGTAATGGAGTGCGGGATGATGCAAGTAACATTACCGGTCGGGATCGGGTTGCCGTGCCGGAGCCTGTACAGTACTCGTATTAACTTTATAGGAAGAATGAGCCTCTTTGGGATATCGCATCGCACGGTTAACGTGGGCGTTGTGAATTGCACTTAAAAAAATTTGCCGGTAATATCGCAAGAGGTGAAATTGGGTCATGCATCACGCAACGCGCAACCCCCATGAGGATGAAGGGGGCCGCCAAGCGAATAAGTGACTTTTGGGTGCCCCATGTTCAATGCTTGTGCTAGGTGATCTCCGCATTATCACTGGAACTTTGACTTAAAATGTCATACTCCTACGGTCTGAACCCGAAACCTACATTTCCTTGCCTCCAGAAAGCGTTTCTTTTTCTCTACTCGTGTAAATAAATACTGCTCAGCACAATCCGGTCCCGGCAATGGATTTCCCTCGTTGGCATGGATCTAGTGGAACCACCGGGGTGCCGCCATCTGTTTATATTGCCTTGTTGGGGTGATAAAGTAGCTGGTTCGTAAGGTGGATTGGACACGGGGTCGCCAAAAATCAGGTCAGAAATCGTCCCAGGCGCCTCATGCCCACTGGGTTGGGTGTTACGCGTTGCAATGACCCACCAAAGTGCACGTTACGCGTAATACTCCGCAGGATCAAGAGGCATGTGAAGCCTGACACCGGGCACAAGGTATCATTTCCAGAGACTTGGGACGAAGCCTCGAGGGCTCGGCTTGACGCTGTCAACTCTGCCCCTGGGCTGAAGGCACAGAAGGTGGAATGCGAAGGAGCTAGAGCGGGTACTGATAACCCGGATTTTTTTTTTTTAATTCATATGCTTATTGATTCTGGTTCAAAAATGTACAAGCACCTTGCGGTATGGCAATAGAAAAAACCTTAATTCCAATACAAAAACATTAAGGAAATATAACCAACATAGCAGTATCTGCAAGGTGGAGCAAAATAGCCCCTGGTATTGCCTACGATGACTAACAAAGTAAAGTAAAGAAATCCCTCCCCTAGGGACTAGCTCTTGACAGTAGCAAATATAAGTAAAGAAAACCTATACCCCTCCCACTCCTGGGTGCCCCCTGGTCCTGGGACGGATAAGGAAAATAATACCAGCAAAAACCCTTAGGCCCCACAGGATCCTAAACTGGACGAGCAGGGTGGCAAAGCTGACCCTGAAGAGGAAGTAGAGGGCGAAGCAGTGTTCACTCAGATAGCAGGCATCTCGCGTGGAAAACCCGTCGCAGTAGAGGAGATGTATTTAGTCAACTGAAGTATCAGGTCAGCTGATGACTACACAGGGGCGTCAGGTCCCAAACTGTCGATACCCTGAAGATGGGCTTTGCATTGCTTGTGTTATACATATGACCATAATGACCTTCCCTGCACACAGATCTCCTGAAAACCGCGAGAAATCCATGGCCAACACCCCCCTCCTGCCCTGCCGTTGGGCCTGTGTGCAGTAATAGAGTTGCCGGAATTGGGTGTCCCAACACTATAAACCGGTTGATACAAAGCATGCTTCATAACACTGTATACGTCGTTGCTGTCCATCTGACCGAAAGCTGTTCACAGGATATATAAGGGGGGACCTCAGGCCATGTCTGAAAAGTAGAACAGAGTCAATCGGAGGGGTAACCATGGAGCTACGAGATAAGCGAGATTGACCACCTCGGACCTGGACAGAAGGGGTTGGGACAGAATTACCAACAGTCCAATGAGTTATCGGGATATGCCCGTATGGATGAGGCACAGGGTCCAGTCTAATACTCACTGTAACGTGTTCGCACCGGGGTGCTATTCACGCTTCTGGGTACAATAGGAGTAGCACACAAGTTGATCTACAACCTATGGACGTACTGCGCTAAGGGAGGCTCTGAGAGAAAGATATAAAGAATAGGGACTTGAAGAGGTAACCGTTCAACCAAGTATATTAGAAATACTCTGTCCATCGAAGTCTGCTGTTCCTCTATGGGAATCAACAGTCTTTAAATGCAAGTTTTCGTCCATGTTCTGCATCGGCGAGTTCCCAAGTATTCCATACTTAAAACCACAAGCAAAACAAACTAAGTATCAAAGGATACTCGAAACCACAAGTAAAACAAACTGAGTATCAAAGGATACGCGAAACCACAAGTAAAACAAACTAAGTATCAAAGGATACTTGAAACCACAAGTAAAACAAAACATAAAACAAATCCTTGAACCAAATGGACTGAACTCCAGTTCCGGTTACAAAACATAAAATAAATCCTTGAACCGAACCGACTGAACTGCAGTTCCGGTTACATTCCCCAAAACAAAACATCTGTTTGCCTAAACAAATCAATAATCTCGAAAATCAAAATCCTCATAAAAATCCTCCCCATATTCCTCATCAGCTAGTGCCCAATCCCCATTACCAATACAAAACACACATGTCCACAACTGCAAAAAACAATTGGAATAAAGGAAATGAAAGTCCCAGTAATTGCGGATACCTGCCACTCTTTCCCATACTTCCACCAGTAGGTCTTTGCAATTAGGGCAGTAATCAACCAAGAGGGTATCAAAGTAGTTTTCTAGTAGGATACTACCACGGTCCACCAACAGTCCCACAAGCTAATAGCGTAGCCTCATATTCAGTTCCTCATAGTTTTCCATCTTTAATGTATTCGGATAGGGAGTGTGCCGTTAGATAAAGGTTTCTATAACATCCGCTATCGTTTGGTCTTCGTCACTACTGCTTTCAAACTCGTTTGCATCATAGGGTACCCAGAAATCCAGTCTGGTAGGGGGGTCTTCGCGTATTTGTTGTGTGGTAGGTAAGGTAGGTGACCAAGCTATCATGATGTGGTTGATGGTGGGGGGTAGTCATTCTCGGGGCATGTTGGCTTCCCACCACTCATGCACAAGAGTCATCACATTTTCAATTCCTTCTACTGGTTCCTAGCTATTCTCCGAGTCCGGATAGCCTTTCTATTTGATTAGGAACTGATCGGTTCCATAGCGTTTTCTGTGGTCAAGTATCTCTTCCACTTCCCATTCTTCCTAGTTGTGGATAAGTAGCGTGGCTGGTTGGGAATGGCTGCATCCTAGGAATCTGCTATCGTTATTTGGGTGCCATCTCTTAACTGTAGTTGAATGAACCACTGCCTTACCACGCCGGTACAAGGGGGGGGAAGGAAGTAGTGCGACAGAATTGCAACCGCCTTCTGCACTATTGTAACTCCACTACCAACCCCCCTCATTCAATACTGACAGAGTCCCTCATGGCCTGTCAGAAAAATTCTGAAAGGCAATAGGCAGGTAAAAGGAACTCAGAGCAGTAAGCATAAGTAGTTTAATTAAATAACTAAGCACACACTATTAAG